TTATTTATTTTTGTGAATGTGAACCTTAGGCTAGCAAGAAGTAGCTGAAAGCAAGAAATGAGTAGATGCTATGGAAAAAGAAATTAAAGCAAGCACAAACAATGATACATGGGAGCTCTCTACCCTTCCTCAAGGATAAAAGACAATTAAGAGTTAAATAGGAATATAAAATGAAGAAGAATGCTAAAGGAGATATAGAGATATACAACACAAGATTAGTGGCTAAAGAATAAAATAAAAATATTTTGTTCACTATGACGAAGTATTCACTCCTATTGCTCATCTTGAAATTATTAGATTAATAATTAAGAGTTAAATAGGAATATAAAATGGATATGAAATCTTATTTTTTTAATGAAGTACCTAAAGGAGAAATATATCGAGCAACCTTTGGGATATGAAGTAAAAATACAAGAAGAGAAAATCTTAAAATTGAAGAAGGCTTTATTTGGTTGAAAATAAGCATCAATGCTTGGAATACTCAAAATGAAAAGTATTTCAAAGAAAAAATCTCATTAAATGTCCATATGAGTACGCATTTTATAATAAAGTTCAAAAAAATAGATATTTTTAATTGTGTGCTTATACATAAATAACTTGATATATACATATAATTATATTAAATATGCTTAAAGAATCAAGAAGAAATGGCCAAAAAATTTGAAATAACTGAAATTGAGCTTATGACTTACTATCTTGGCATTGAAGTGAAATAAGAAAATCATGCATATTTAACACTCAAGAAAGTTTTTTTAAGGAAGCACATATAAAGTTCAAAATGGATGAATTTTACCCCGCTGGAATACAAATGGAATATAGAGTCAAATAGTCCAAAAATGAATAAGAAAAGAAGTAAATCCAACTCTTTATAAAGTATCATTGTTGGTCTACTCTACTTAAGTCATATAAGGCCAAAAATTACTTATGTAATTTGGGTAATCAGTCGTTATATGCAACCTCCAAGGATAACTCATTTCAAGATTGTTAATAGAATACTTCATTACATCAAAGGTACAATCAACAGTAATTGCTCTTTTTCTATTAAATATAAAATTGTTGGATAAAGTGACAGCTATTGAGGTAGAGATCTAAATGTTGGAAAGAGTACCATCAAATTTGTGTTCTTTATGGGAGTTACCACGTTCTTCTGGGCATCAAAGAAGCAACCTACAAGTTGTGAAGCTGAATATGTAGTAGCTACTTCATGCGTTTGTCATGTTATTTAGCTAAGAAATTTATTAAAAAAATTATGATTTCTGTAAGAGGTGCTCTTCAAGACAAATATTGACAATAAATCAGCACTTGCATTGACAAAAAAAGTCCATCTTTCACAATAGAAAGAAGCACATTGAGACTTGTTATCATTACATAAGAGAATATGTTGCAAGAAAAGAAGTGGAGTAGAAGTAGGTACTCAAGATCAAGCGACAGAAATATTTACTAAGCCACTAAAAAAATAAATGTTTGCAAGGTTTTGAAGCATTCTTGGAGTTACAAATCAGCTTTAAGGGAGGTTGTAAGAAATAACTTTATTTTGTGTTCAAAATAAACTTATTTTGATAATTAAACTCGTTCAAAATTGAATTGCCAATGTTAGGTGGACATGCAATGAATGTGTGGTGGTAGGTGTGGTAGGCCAATAATGAATGTTTGAGATTAGTTTGGTTAATAAATAATGTGTGGTGTTGATTACTTCAAAATATATATAAATACCCCATACTTTTGTGGGTTATGAATCAAGTCTCAAAAAAAAATTTGTCAGTTTCTAAATAAAGTTAGTGTGAGTTTGAGAGTTGTACTTTATGATTTTTGAGTTTATAAAATATTTAGTTTTTCCCAGCATGCTATTACTTCCCTTCATAAGAATAATTTGTGACAAACCACCAGACACACGCACGCACACGCACACATGCACACACACACACTCACAAATGATGATCACAAACCCAAGTTCCTGTTGAAAATTCAAAGTAACAAACAGGTTCCAGTACAAATTCTTATGAATAAATGCAAGCTAATATTAGGAGTAGTACAAGGATTATTACTCTTTCCAAAAGGCTCGTTGATTCATTATTTCTAGATAACTATTTATTACTTTCATTAAAGAAGGTTGTAGCTAGGCAGAGCAACATGTATTCCCCTTCCACAAATCAAATATTTACATTTTTATCCTACTGATCTAGAAAATATAATCATATTGTATAAATCATTAAGAAATAAAACTTTATAAAGCAACCCCTGCATTAATATAGACCACAAAAACTAACTAAAACATGCTTGATTTTGGTGTGTGACCGCCCACTGGACGCAATCAAATTGCCACTTCCAACTTGGAATACTTTATCAGTTAATACAAAATAGCATTATTTTGGGCTGCAATCATCAATCCTGCCTTCTGTTTTAAAACAATTAATGAAGCAGGCAAAGATATTCACCTTTAGAATACCTGAATCTACGCAAAAATTTTATTTTCTATCCATGATGTTGGCTGACATGGGATTCCTTGAATTATATGAATAAAGTTTGGATAAGATCGACAGTCTTATCATGGACTAATAAGCAATAACAGAAGAGCATTATCATGTGCAGCTCTCAACAAAATGATGAATAAAAATAAGCAAACCAAACCAAAAACTCCAATAATTATTAAAATTATATGATATCTTGAAATAAAAATTTAAGCACGTTAGATTAATGGGAAACAAGATTTATGAACTACCGATCGGCAGGCCACAAAATGTTAGGCTTATATCAATATAGAGTTGGAGATTAAGTAGTTCATGATCATGACACATTCAATGATGTTAATCTTCCTGCTTTTGTCTAGTAGATAAGTTGTAAGCCATCGGCGGTGACTAATACAATATTTAGGTAATCTGCTATCTGTTTATAATGATACATTTAAAAATGCATCAAATCTTAATCAGCTTAAGATCTTCTCTTTCCAGGTGTTGACATTCATGTAAAAAAAGACTTGCAAGCATGTTCTTCTACAGTTCTCATAATTATATGACAAAAATATCAATCTTTTAAAAATTTAGATTTTTTCCAGTAAAAAAAATAAACGTTTTCTGCAGCCTTATTAGCATATATTCTTTGTTATCCATGCAAAATACATTAAATTTTGGTCATTTTAGTCGTTTCTACATAATGCAAAATTTGAAGGGTGCAAAAATGTGCAGGATCTTCTACTGTTAATTGCAAATATAGGAAAAATTATGAAGAAAGTTCTACCACCCAAAGCAAAGATTTCAAAAAAAGCAAAGGAAATCATGCAAAATTGTCCATCAGAATTCATGGCCTTTATACCCTGTGGAAGCTTCTGATAAGTGTCACAAAGAGAACAGACAAACTCTAGGTGGGGATGACACATATCATGCCATGAAATTAATTGAGTTAGATAAATATGCTTTTTTTACTAAAAGGTACCTTCATAAGCATAGAGAGCATTGTGAGAAATTAGAAGCCACTAGAAATTGATATGCAGATCAGCTACCCATATATTGCAGAAGCAATCAACAGCTAGAGTTTGTAAATAAAGTTAACCCTCTACATCACCATTAAAGAAAAATAAATAGCTTTATAGAAAAAAAAAATGGGAGAACTCTTAGCTAGTATGGCCTTTCTAAAGTGGTGACATAAATATCTATTTGTAACTTATGAATGTATTAAATTTTTGTTCATTACATTGTTCTTATCCATTGATGCAATGCAAATCAAAGCCTTAACAGAAGACAACATAGTGATTGAGAAATGAGTTTCTTAAAAGTATTTATTGATTAAGTTTATCATAAAAATTTATGAGGTTTTAAAGTTTTTTTATGGATAAATCAATTTAAAGTTTAGTTGTTAACATCTTGTTTAACATTAAGTTTTTTTTTTTTTTGGAAAAATTGAAGTCTATGTCTAACATTTTATTGAAATTAAAAGAGGTTACACTTAATCTATTTAATCCTGATTTATTTTGTGAGGCATGCCCAAGAATTGGAGTGATAGAAGTCATGAGGGACAAATAGAGAGAGACAATAAGGGAGAAAGAAGGAAATAACACACACAAACTAGCCTCGCAGGGGTGAACTGGGGTATTCTTGAGCTCTGTGACACATTTTATATCTTACAATTGGGGAGTTCCAAGAGAGAAGGGGAGAGAGTCCTTCCTAAAGAATGGGTATAAAGAGAAGAGCCTAAAGAGGCAAAAAACCTAGAGAAGCAAAGGCCCCCAATACATGCTATGGTTCGCCTATTTAGAAAAGATAGAGGGACAAAAAGTAAAATCACAAGCTTGCCCAAACTTTAATAGGAGTATTATAGGATATTATTGTCTTTTGATATGCCTTTTTCTATTCATAATGGGTTTTCCACCTTTTTGTATTTACACCGATTGACCTTCACTCTAGAAAGTTGATCGACTCTATGTCTGGACACCGGTTGGCCTTCGCCTTGAAAACTGGATTGATTTTGAGTATGTTAGCCAGTCGGGTTGCCTAATTATTGTTCCTTGGTGATTTTGAAGACCTTTGGGGGAGTTGTTGAGAGAGCCATACATTGATACTTTGAGATTGTTTTGGGTTACTAGACCTTTGTTCTATCATTAGCATGGTTTTCTGTCTTTTGTTAGCCTAAGTAGCCCTTTGGTTGTCGTACTAGTCTTAAGTCAGCCAGCAGTCCTTCGGTTGGTCATGAATCCTTTGGTCAGCTAGCTATCAGTTTATTGGCAGTCTTCAGCCGGTCAGATTGACCATAAGTTGCCTGGACTGAGTGAGACCTTATAGTTTTTTGTATTTGATCTGGACTATTAGATTAGATTGAGATTTATGCAGACCATATTTGAGTGTACATATTAAGTTTTTTAGTTTTCTTTCTTCTTGATAACAATAACTACAATAAAGACAAGAAATATTTTAAAGTAATAAATTAAATCTTAATTGTCATAATTTCATGCAATGATTAAACTCTCTAGATTTTTGTGCTCATGAGGCATAGTGGAGGGTCTCAAAATCATGAGTCTGTTTCTCCTTGCATCGGCTTCTGGGCTGGGAAAGAAATCTAGAGATTTATCTAATTCAAGTTTGGAGACAAAGGTTTACGATGTTGGAGCGTTGCTAGCTATTTTGCCAATTGAACCTCTTTTGGGTCATTGTCGACATTGCTTCTTGGATTCTAGTTCTCTAAATGTCAATTGGATATGAGAAAATATTAATAAGATTTACGTATAAACATATGAATAATTTTTGAATGATACTCCCTTCATCAGCTGAGTTAGATGTCAGACACCTGCAATTGGTTCAACATCATTGGATCTCGTCGATAAGCCTTCGATGAAGGATTGTTCCGACTATTGGGAGTCGTTCATCCTTTTCTGAGGTGTGGTTTTTGTCTTCAAAACAAACTCTCTAGAAATACTATAGAGATGAATTTCTTAGCACCAGATATAATGTTGCGTGAACTCCTTCGTGCGCTCCCTATTAGGATTGTCTCTGAGATGTATTCCTCCTTGATGGCACAGTTCCCTTCTTGTTGGTAGCATAACCCACACTCACCGCACTATTTAGGATGTTAATATAGATTTTTCTTGTGAGGTATGCCCAAAGATAAAAGCGGTAGAAACCATGAAGAAGAGATAGAGAGGGAGAGACAAATATGGAGAAATATGGGTGCATCATATACATACTTGCCCCGTATGGGCAAATTGAGGTATTCTCGATTTTTGTGACCCATTTTATTTCTTACAAATGGGGGGTAACAAGAGAGAGGAGAGATTTCTCCTTAGAGAGAGAGTGGGTCTAGAAAGAAGAGCCTAACGAGGGAAAAAAACCTAGAGGCAAAAGCCCTTAATACAAGTTATGATCCCTCTATTTATAAAAGATAGAGGGACAAAAGATAAAATTGTATGCTTACCCCTACTTTAATATGACGATCACGGATTTTATTGTCTTTCAGCTTGCCTTTTCAAATTCATAACTAATTTCAACACCTGTTCTAATGAACACCGATCAACATTTGCTCTAGGAAGTCAGTCAACTTTATATATGGACGTCTGTTGGCCTTAGCCCTGGAATCTGGTCAATATTAAGTATAGAAGTCGGTCCACCTCTGGATGGCCATAGCCTGATTATTGTTGGTTGGTGAATTTGCAGACCTTTGGGGGTTGCTGTTGAGAGAGCTTCGCGTTGATACTTGTGAGATTGTTAGGGATATTAGAACTTTGTTCAGTCACAGATGTGGATGCTTATCTGTTGTTGGCATGGGTGGCCTTTTAGTCGTCAGACTGAACTTAAGTCGATCAGTAGTCCTTCTGTCAATCGTCAGCCCTTTAGTCAGCTAGCAATCGGTCGGCCGCCTAGGCTGGCTTTTAATCATTTAAACTAACTATCAGTAACCTGTGAGGCCTTATAGTTTTTTCAGTGATATGGATCTTTAGATTGTCTCGAGATTTGTGTGGACCATTTTTGGTTGTGCATGATCAAAATCAAAAGTGTAGATTATTTAAAGATATTACAATTCTAAAAATTGTATCTAGAGAATTAAAAGTGGCATTACAAACAAAAAAAAATATAAACAAATCTATACACAAGAAACTATTTAATAAAATTTAAAGTGCTCTTTTTTATTGTAACCACATTGCTCAACTATTCCAAGTGATCATAATGCCTACATTTATGTTATTTTTGTTTTCTAAAATTTAGGGTATTTGTATTTGTTTGCTTAGCTGACCGCCAAATGCTCATGAAAACTTAACTATACTTATTGTAAACCTCTCCAAGGCCAATATTCCATTCTTAACAGCTTTTAGAAGTCTCTCAAATCCAATTAAGCCACAATTTAGAGCTTAATACTAAGCTCAGGAAAGACTTTAAACAAATGATTTTAAGTATCAAGGCCATAACAACAGGGTACGGTAAATGACTTCAAGAAAATATATTAAGTATTTTCTATGAAATTTTGTGTCATATATGTTTTCATGAACAGATTTTAATCTAATGATTCACATTAACTAATTCGATATTATATTGATGAAAATAAAATAATATAATATAATTAAAAAAATATCTCTATTCTTAAAAAAAAAATAATTACAATATATCTCATGTGTTTTTATAAAATGTTAGATTTTTTCAAACCGAATAAAGTCGAAATTTCGGCTTTTTATAATGAGAACATTTAATAAAAATGGTAACAATCCTTTCAAACCAAGCACAAGTCATAAGCCCATAAAAAAGCTCTACATAGCACACAATTTTTCCTTAATTAAGCTCTTTGGAGGCATTTGGTTGTGACTTAATTTTACGGTAAATTGGAGTTATCAAGTTCGCTAAATTTGGATTTATCAAATTCTCTGTGACGAAACTCAGCCTCACGAGCGACGACTAAACAAATCTTGTAAATTCATCCCGTAATTACATTTAATAAATCCAGATTTATGTCACAAAGCACAAACATAAGCACATTATCATGATCTAATAAGCGATAACATGAGCGCATTATCATGTACAACTGTCAACTAAATGATGAATAAAATATGCAAACCAAAGAAAATGCTCCAATACTTCATTAAATTATATGATATCCTGAAACAGCAATCTAAGCACATTAGATTAGTGGAGCAAATAAGATTTATGAATCACCAGCCGACATACCAAACAATGTTAGGCTTATATCACTATATAATTAAAGATTTAGTAGTTCATGATCACGACACATTCAATGATGTTAATCTTCCTGCTTCTGTCTGATAGACAACATGTCACAAGCCATCAACCGTGACTAATACAATATTTAGATAATCAACTATTTATTCTTAGCAATACATCTTGAAATGCATCAAATTTGAACCAGATAAAGACCTTCTCTTTCCAGGTACTGACATTCATGCAAAACTTGACTTATAAGCATGCTCTGCTACAGTTCTTATAATTATATGGCGAAAAAGATAAATTTTTGCATAGATTATTTGTTATCCATGTTAAATGCATTGAGTTTTGGTCATTTTAATCTTTTTTGCTTCCAGGTGAAGATAATGGATGAAAACTCAGACTCAAATATCACGACGACAGCCAAAGATGAAGGGTGCAGAAATGTGCAGGATCTTCTACTGCCAATTGCAAATATAGGAAGAATTATGAAGCAAGTTCTACCATCCAAAGCTAAGATTTCAAAAGAAGCAAAGCAAACCATGCAAGAGTGTGCATCGGAATTCATAGCCTTTATAACTGGGGAAGCTTCTGATAAGTGTCGCAAGGAAAATAGACAAACTTTAAGTGGAGAAGATATATGTCATGCCATGAAATTACTTGGGTTAGATAAATATGCTTGTTCTGCTAAAAGTTACCTTCAAAAGTATAGAGAGCATTGTGAGAAATCAGAAGCCATTAAAAATACTGAGCCCATGGAAACTGATATGACAGATATGTTACAAATATATTGCAAAGGCAACCAGCACAGCTAGAGATTGTATATACAGTTATTCCTATACGTTGCCATTAAAGAAAATCAAATAGCTTTTAGGGAAAAATAATGGGAGAGCTTATAGCTAGTATGGCCTTTCTAATGTGGGGACATAAATATCTGTTTGTAATTAATGATTGTATTGAATTTTTTATAATTAAATTGTTCTTATCCATAGATGCATTGCAACTCACAGTTTTAACAGAAGACAGCATAGTGATTGGGAAATGAGTTTCTTACAAGTATTTATGGTTTAATTTTGTCCTAAAGATTTATGAGGAGTTAAAGGTTTTTTTTAATGGATAAATCAATTTAAAGTTTGGTTGTTAACATCTTTTTTAACAATAAGTATTTTTTGAAAAAATTGAAGACTACGCCTAGCATTTCATTGAAAATTAGAAGTGGTTGCACTAGATCAAAATCAAAAGAGTAGAATATTTGAAGATAATACAATCCTAAAAGTTATACTTATAGACTTAAAAAGAGGCATTATAAACAAAAATTATAAGCAAATCTATACACAAGATATTGTTTAATAAATTTAAAATGCTCCAATTCTATTCCAAGTGATCAAAATGCCTACATTTTATTTGATTTTGTCTTCTAAAATTTAGGGCATTTGCTTGCTTAGTTGACCGCCAAATGCACGTGAAAATTTAACAATACTTATTTTAAACTTCTTGAAGGCCAATATACCATTCTTAATAGGCTTTAGAAGCCTCTCAAATCAAATTAAGCTACAATTCACAGATTAATGCTAAGCTGAGGATGGTTTTTAAATAAATGTTTTTTTAAGAATTAAGAGTTTATTTGGGACGGTTGCAATTTATTTAAAACTATTGCACAACAGTTGTGCTAAGAAGCTATGGGGGAAAACTGTGTGTCTGTTTATTTTGTGTAATTATGCAGCAGCTGTTTAAGTTAAAAAGAACTTCCTACCCCTATATTATTGTGTTATTTATAACATAATCAGTCCTAATTGCACATTTCATACATAAAAATATATATTCAATTTGAATATTACATAATTAAAATTTACAACTCACTAAACAACGAGTAACAACAATAAAAATTAAAAATAAAACTATTAAAATAACATTTAATATTATCATAATCTTGAATTTAAAATTCAAATAATTAATTTAATGAGATAATTTGCTCTAACAAAACTCTTCATGTCTAATCACTATTGGAGGTGAAATCATCAAATTGATTTGCCCACTTGAAGAACTCACAGTTCTCTGATCTATTTTTGGGACGCTTGTAAAATTGTCTCCCATGATCTATTCCTTGGACTCTTGTAAAATTGACTCCCATAGCTATGCTCATGTCACAAAGTAAGCAGAGAACACTACAGTTCACAGTAGCAGTACAATATTTTAGAGGCACCGAAAGACCTCAAGCTCATCTTTCTTGGAGGTTTAAAATCACAAAATACAAACTGTTAGATGCAACATTAGCAAAAAAAAATAATAGAAATACACAATTAAAGTTTTATAAAGTTATGAGGTCTCAAAGAAAGTATAAACCAACAAATAATTCATCAATATAAGAAGACAGTAGGCCTTTAAAAAAAGAGTTCTTGGTTGTCTTTAAACCATGTAACACTGATCACATTGTGCCACAGAAGCAAATCACCACAAAAACCATCCAAAAAAACCCAATCATTATAATCAGAGAAAAATAGGATCTTGGTTGCATTTAAACCACATAAAGTCGTGTTCGGATGTATCACAAACCATAATGCCACAAAATGCCATCCAAAAGAACCCCATCAGTCATTTGACTGAAAAATAGGGTTTCTTGGTTTCCTTTAAATCATGTAATACCGAGCTCATATGTGTAACAAAGTCATATCACCACAAAGACCATTTTGAAGAACCCCTAAGGTCATTTATGTTATCATAGACCTCAAAACCAAAAAAAAAACATGCAAGCATAAAAAATCTATATTAAACCCACGGTTGCCTGGATGTCATCCATGTGGGACAAAAGTGAAAAAATAATTTGCAATGAATCGAAATTTCACATGAACATCATTGCATGCAATGTTATTACAATAAAGAATAGTTACTTTTCTAAAACATTACACAAATAAAGAAAATGCAGTGCAAAATTTTTCACCCACTAACTATTGAACTTGTAATTTGCTCTCTCAACTCCATCATCTCCGCAACATCTTCCTCATCTTGTGTACAAGAGTCATGTAAATCAAGTTCAACTTGTGACATTGACAGGCCTAGACTATATTTGTATGTCTCGATAGTGATATGTGATTGGTCCTCATCTGCATTATTGAATAAATATTGTTACGTGAAGGATGTCAAATAATGTAGTTGTGAAGAGCCATCGTAGCTATCACAACTTTACTTATTTATTGAAAAAGGAGATGGATATATCACACAAAATAGCTCTTCTTTTTTCCAAATGCCAAATGTCATTTCAATAATATCACGTACAAATGAGTGCCTCTTGTTAAGCATCTCATTCAGCCCCAAGCTACATTTATCGACTCTTTCAAAATCTAAAATATGATATTTTGTACCAGCAAAGAACTTGAAATTATGATGAACAATGTCGTCCTTATATTTCTTGGAAATTTACGTCCGTGGCACACATTTCTCTTGCATTTATTTTCTTATTGTTTTTAGCGTAAAATACGCTATCCCTCATGGCAACGTCTACGAAGACCGACCCGCCTCCTGCTTCCGCCACCTCACCACATTCATCGCCGCTCCACCTCTCTGAAGCCGACGAGGAGGACGAAAACGTTAAGCAGCTGAATGAATGCTCCAATCTATACTTTGCTCTACAGGTAAATCTTCTGACCTTCTCCCCAATTGTTTCTTCTGCATCAAGT